GGCGTAGTAGTGAATGTCTGGGTGGCGGAGTAGGGTTTTCCGTCGGGATCAAAGGACGATGACATCGATGATCTGATCGAGAGTTTTGAGCTGGCCGCCAATGCCGTCTTAGCGAAGGTGGACGTGGGTGAGATCCTGCATGCCCGCCTCGACCCTTGATCTATGGGACGTATTAGTATTATTTGTAGTCATGACTAGGTTTGATCTATGGGATGCCCTTGCAAATATGTGAACTCTTATTTGCATGCATATCTGTGTGAACTTTTGCTGCACTTTGTATTAGGTGGGTTAAACTCTATTGAGCGTGGTATAGCTCAGGTCGTTTGGTCATTTTTGTTGCCTTGGTGTCTTTGTCAATCTTTGTTGAACTTGCAAGAACCTTAATATATCACTACTACAGAGGAGCCATTGGTGTTTTTTTGGGAACAAAGAGGAGCCATTGGTGTTGAAATATTATTGCAGGATGTCACATAAGAAAGATAGTAAGGTCTGCCCATGATTTCTGGCAGGATGTCACATCTACCATACGGAATGTAATATGTAGGGATGACATGAATTTTTCTGCTGTCCATGTTATATGCGATGATGGCTCTTTCCACCCCAACCCCAACAAAGAAAATCAAATTCCATTTTGGGTGAAAAGTAACCCAATTGTTTCTTAGTTTTTCCAAACAACTTACATAGGCTGATAGTATGCTTCGATGTCCATTTATTATTAGTACCATAGTCTTCAAGGATCCAGATTGAAAGCTTAGACATATTGTGACCACCAATAGTACATTGACACAAGTGACCATAAGCTTGATGGATGGAGCGTAAAAAACCACGTGGCCTGTTAGGAATTGTCCACCATGTCTTTCCCTCCATATCAACAACAAGTATACGACGGTAACCCTTGCAGAACCCAATATAGTGCAGACAACTGTTAAGAAACACAGTTGCTGATTTTAAAAATATCAACTCAGCCTCCTCACCCCATTTACATTTCTTAAAGATCCATGCTACAATTTTAGATGAGTAGATTTCTACACCCATGCACTAACCATCCTCCTCCATATATTCAAACACATGAAAGTGCGAGGAGGCTGTTGTATCGAACCCCAATCGAGCCTCACCAATAGAATGGATTCTAGGCGGCAGTACCTTCAACTTCTGGGTTGCCGGATTGCAGATGACATAACGGTATCCATCAGCCCAAAGGCACTAGCATAGGATGAGGCCGTTGCAGCAATCTGAGATAGCTACATTTTTCATGGTGAAGAGCAAGAAGGACAAGGTGGGGTAAACACCGATAATGCTGGTGAAGTTTCATTAGCCATAGATTTCATTGAAGAAGAAGCCGGCCATAGTCTAGGGCATCAACTTATGATTGTCCAAGATGAGGTGTTTCTAGGAGCGATAGACACATTTGCAGCAGAACAAGGAGTGGGCGGGGAGGCGGCGGAGGATCTCAACAAAGACATCGTCCATGAGGCTGGCCAGTGTGTTCCTCTTATTGGGGGCCTCCTCCATTTCGTTAGTGTTCAGTAGGATGAGAGCTTGCTCGGTAATGAGATTACTGAAGAGGAAAATAATCCAACAAAGATCCATCAGTAAAGTCCACAACTCATACCAAAGTGCAACTTTAACAACCATTAATAATTTTTATGGTATGACCTCAACTAAATTTAGAGTAGCACCACATAGATATATAACTCAAACTAGAGTAGCAGTTAATGGAGCTGTAACCATTACAATTTTAGCTAAATCAAGTCTAGCCATCACACTTACAATCAGTACACGAGCTTAGAGGTTCTTCCATAGAAGATAGACAAAGATTAAGAGGACTACAATTACAATAGTTTTGAAGGAGAAAGAGGGTGGAGTAGGTGTTGGGTTTTGAAGACAGAAGTCATCATCATGAGCTAAGCGTGGATTTGAGTTGGTTCTTGACTTGAAGGCAGCAATTCCATCTTCATAGGAGTTGTACTTTTTATAAGAAGCACCAGAAAACCTATGAACTTGTTCCTGGCAGTCAGGCCAGTTGTAGTAAACTCTTGGTTGACGGCCATTGAAAACAATATAGCAGGGACTCATCTCAAATTTGCACAACCCAAACAGGCTGCCTTAGTTTTCACAAGTTCAAAAATATCATAAGGACTCACTGGTGGCACTGAAGCATACGGAATAGAAATGTAGAATCAAGCAAGCACTGGATAGAAAAACTAGTTTAAGGCAGAAGCAAAGGGCCTGTTTGTTTGCCTAGACTGATAGGTATAATTAAGCTAGCACTTGACAATTAACATGCCTAGTTGCACATAGGCATTTATAGTAAGAACACTGAACATATGCAGAAAATCAGAGATCAGCAGAGAACCAACCAGTGGTACCTCCTACTTCTTTTCATCATCATTGGCCTAACCAGATCTCAAAAACTAGAATGTTTCTTGTATATATACCTCATGTTCAAGCAAGGACCAAAACAGTGAAGCGAACAGGAAAAGGCAAGAAAAGAGACTTGTGGATCGGATCTGTCGCCTCTACCACGGCACACAACGGACACAAACACCAATACCGTTGTGCTCCACCGGGAAGCCCCGCCGTCTAGCCTTCAAAAGGATGCCTAAGGCACCACAGCACACCGGGGATCCTCTATCGCTGCCGCCGCCGCCGCCGCAAGTCCAACGGGCACAGATTTGTTTTCACTTACAGAGGATATCCAATATATAGGTCAACATGTAGGACATCCACACAGAGAATATATACTACTATAAGGACTCCAAAGACAAGTTAACACAACCAGGCGTCTAGCGCAATGGTGAAGACGCTCCATTCCTTGCTCTAGATCTTAGGTTCGACTTCCAGGTCTCATGGTTTTTTTGAATTAGATTTTATTAAACCCCAGCGGCACACAAGGTACAAGTGACACGCAAGCCGTCGGGTCCCATAGGTCGGATGAAGATGGAGAAAGATCCCACAGGTACACGTGACACATAAGCTATCGGGTCCCACAGGTCGGATGGAGATGGAGAAAGGTGTCGTTGGGCCCATAGGTCGGATGGAGAAAGGTCCATAGGCACAAGTGACACGCAAGCCGTCGGGTCCCACAGGTCGGATGGAGATGGAGAAAGGTCCCACAGGTACACGTGACACGTAACTCGTCGGGTCCCACAGGTCAGATGGAGAAGGGTCCCACAGGTACACGACGCATGGAGTAAGGATCGAGCGAAGACTTTTATGACGAATTACAAGCGTAACGGATGAGTAACTGCAGATCCCATAAGTACACGTCGGATGGAGAAAGTACCGTGTGGAGATTTATGACGAAACGCCATTCGTTACATATCGAATATTGTTCGTCATAGATGTGTAATTAGTTCAATGACGAAGCCCTGCTCGTCACAGTATTAAAGAAGATTGTCACAGATGAGTCGCACGAGTGATCTGTGATGAAACCTGGTGCTCTTCTATGTCGTTTCTTGTGACGATATCTGATTTCGTCATAAATAGGGAGGATTTGAGGATCCTCACCATTGATGTATGACGAAACGAAAATATTCGTCATAAAAAGTGATCTTCTATGACAATTTCGGAATCATCATTAAGATTTTCGTCATAGAAGTGGATATTTCTAATAGTGTAACTAGAGGAGATATGGTGCCAAAGTTGCAGGATTTGGGTGTCTTTTGATCTGAAGCCGGATCAGCGTGTAACATTCCAACTAAAACGAGAGTTATGTTCACCTAATGGAAAATCGGAAACCACCATCCTCATCAGTGCATATTGTAGTAATCGCCCAAGGGGAGTATTGTAAAACATACAAATTCTAGAAGAGAAATGAGGAGGAAAAATCATAATCTTAGTCCGTTATTTACGTGGACTCCTACTAAACTCTTAGATAGGACTATATATATACGTGGAAGCTATATGCTATAATCATCAATATTAAGAGAAATAAAGAATAATTTCTTTATCTTGTGTCTATGTACGTGCTCTTTTACATTTATCTAATGTGTTAATCATAAGAGAAGAAGAAAGAAAGGTTCTAACCACTGGCACCATGTTTTACAACACACCACTAAGTGCACGGTGAACTAGCATATCACTCGTACGTTAAGCAAAAACATTGACCATGTGATATGGATTAATGATTAATCACACAGCATCTCGGCACGATCCATGGGCTTCCACGACGCCTCGACGCCAGGGCGGGCGGGGGTTGGCCGTAGGGTACGTCGACCGCCGCCGGCCTCACGTGACCGGGGCCTGTGCCAGTGTTCGAATCGAATAACAAATGGGTTTAGCAGCTTAACTTGTCGGAGCGATGGAGATGCTACGATACTATCTGTCGAGTTGTTGCTTATCAGCGCTAAGATTCTTATTACTTATCAAGGCGTCCAATAGACAACCGCCAGTTCATCTCTAATCATTCTGTCCACGGAATTCAACCCTTTGTTTTGACAATCGCGCGCCTCCGATCCATCGGGGTGTCAGAGCTGACTTTGATGGACACGGCCAGAATGGGAGTATAACTGCACGCAGATCAGAATCTTGTGTACTGTTGCTTGATGGCCATGCGCGCATGTTACGTTCCTGAATTAACAAGAGCCCCGGGCGCGGGCGGAGCTAGACGAGCACTCGACCAGAAACGCACCCACACCATGCACTTGCACTTGCAGCGCCGATCTGAATCTGATCGGCTATCGCCATGCATGCATGCGCAGCGCAACTGTCGCTGCGCGCGCTCATGTGCCGTCGTGCGCCCGTCGATCTCGATCGCTTGGATTCAGCTGTTGTTCGTCAGCTCGATCGAACTCAAACCCTTCCTATTTAAGAACCGGTCGACCACCAGGGTGGCCGTGGGCCAGTGACTTGTAGCAACCACAACGAAGACCACCACCTATCGTCGGACGTACAGGTCCTTGATCCCTTCCTCCATCGTCGAGAGCTTCGTGTGATCCATCTTCACTTGCACTGGATCCTGCTGTACAGTTTGAGGCGCAAAGCTAAGGGTGGCCGTAATGGAGACACCCAAACCTCTGGCCGTAGTGTTCCTCGCGGTGGTCGCGCTGGCTGCCGCGCCGGCTGTCGACGCCTGGTCCAGGGGCACCGCCACGTTCTACGGCGGCAGCGACGCCTCGGGCACAATGGGTACGTACCCTACCCATGCTTACTACGTATAGGTGTAGTAGATTTCAGATTTCACTGCATGCATGTCATGTCGCGCTCCGATCCAGTTTTCATCCAGTATGTAAACTGCCACATGATCGATCAGGCGGGGCGTGCGGGTACGGCAACCTGTACGCGACGGGCTACGGCCAGTACACGGCGGCCCTGAGCCAGGTCCTGTACAACGACGGCGCGTCGTGCGGGCAGTGCTACCAGATCTCCTGCGACTCGCAGACGGACGCGCGGTGGTGCCGGCAGGGCGCCGGCCCCGTCACCGTCACGGCCACCAACCTCTGCCCGCCCAACTACGCCTACTCCGGCAGCGACGGCGGCTGGTGCAACCCGCCGCGGGCGCACTTCGACATGTCCCAGCCGGCGTGGCTCCAGATCGGCATCTACCAGGGCGGCATCATCCCGGTGCTGTACCAGCGCGTGTCCTGCGTGAAGCAGGGCGGCGTGCGCTTCATCATTACCGGCTTCAACTACTACGAGCTGGTGCTCATCTCCAACGTCGGCGGCAGCGGCTCCGTGGCCAGCGCCTGGGTCCAGGGCTCCAACACCAACCGTGTGCCCATGAGCAGGAACTGGGGGGCCAACTGGCAGTCGCTTGCAGGGATCGCCGGCCAGGCGCTCACCTTCGGCGTTACGTCCAGCGGCGGACAGACCATCGTCTTCCTGAACGTCGTGCCGGAGAAGTGGGTGTTCGGCATGTCATTCACCAGCAACTTGCAGTTCTCCTACTGACTACAGCCTACAGGTATATAGCGCCCGCCCTTCTACTAAGCCTATCTAGGAGCTATCGAGCCCATCTCTTTGGATAGCATCAGTAGATAGTTAGCTTGGACCTTGGAGAGAGAGCTCTCTGGCAGTGGCTATAGCATTATGCATGCACGTTGTGCAAATCTTTTCCTTCAGTTTGTATGTGTAACTTGGTTTTGAATTGGCAGTAATTAAGATTTTAGTTTCCATGTCGGGCCAGCGGCTTGCTAGCCCTGTACAAGCCCTGAATACAAAATGTAAGGTGTTTCATATTTGATTGAAAAATATTAAGAGTGCATGTGATAACTGATAAGATCAGTTGCGCACCGACGGTTGCTTCGTCAATTTTTTTTGATGGTAACAGGATGGGTTCCCCTACCAGATTTTATTGAAAAAACGAAAGGGTTCTCCAAACCACAAGTTCAAGATAAAAAAGGTAAGAAAGAAAATCGTAAGAATTACACAAGGGACTGATGCGAAATTAACGAGTAAACATCTTCGCAGAAAAAAAAAAACTAGAGTAAACATGAGTCAGAATATGAAGACACCCAGAACCGTTCATGCCTAGGGCTGCAATTGGGTTCTGATTGATGGAACAAGGCCGATCACGACGGTTATCATGGGCGTGCACAATCAAGGAACAGTGTGTTTAATTTAATTATAGAGGTTTGTACCTACATGTATGTGAGAGTCTGCTATTGTATTGTGATTTGAAAAAAAAATGTCACAATGACATGGCCATTGCTTACAATCTATCAGATCCCAAATCATAATGTACCTTTTACTGGAGTTCAAGATTTGTTAGATGATTTCCCGAGACATCACAAAAGGATTGGAGCATAAACGGAGCTTGGAACAATCAGACATTAAACATCGATCAGGAAGTGTGTGGCTCATGCTCATAGTCATAGGCTTCCGCTTAAATTTCTTGTTGCAAACTAATGTTGAAAAGATAATTATTGTTTTTGGCAAGCTTACGATTTGGGAGGATCATAACCATCTGGCTACAATTCTTGTGAAAAGCTAGAGTTGACGATTTAGAAGATGAACCCTAGTTTAATGAGATGATTTTGAAGGGGATTATTCTTGGATAGTTCAATGTAAAATTCTTCTGTTACGCATATGGGCCTTTTTGGTTTCAAAAAGTTGTGGTGAGCTATGAGCCGTGAAAAAACTACTGTGGGCTATGTGCTGTGAAAAAGTTATAAGTTGTTTTGGTTCAAACAACTAAGAAACTGACTCTCTTTCTCTATCTCCCTTAAAATAGTTGTGAACCATGTCTTTATTTCCACCCATTTGAAAAAGTAAAAAGTGGAAAACCGAAAACATGAGTATACCACACGCAAGCAACAACTTATGAAAAAACAGCTTCAGATTCTACCAGTTTAGTTTACGTTCTACTTTTTAACAGTAAAAGCTTAACCAAACACAGCCATAACAGGACAAGACGAAGACTTGCCGCAGCCGAGCCGAGTTTGACTTCTTCGAACTTGGATAGCCAGGACAGGGACGCAAAGGCATTGGTGAGAATGGGTAGGGGAACCTGGAAAACAACGTTGGCACCAATATTCCAAATCCTCAACCAGGCCAGAATATATATATGCACATGGTTAGGTCCTTTGGCCCATTGGACCAGTCGCTGCAGGCAACAATGAAGCTAAGGACCTGGTTAGAGAAGGTCCATATGAAAAGTCCGATTTGCTTCTCATTTCCAAAATTAGATTTTTAGAGTTCTTTAACTTTTGAAACTATCCAATTTACCTCTCTGATGTCACATTAGTCATCCTACGTAGCACCACATTAGCCACGAGAAAGTTAAATTAGACTTTCACAACAATTAAGATTTTAGATGGTGAACTAGACTTTATAAAAAAATTGTAGAATTTTTTTTAAAAGACTATCCAAATATTTTCTAAAAATGGATTTAAAAATACTGAAAATATGATTTAACCTTAGAAATTTTGTTTTAACTCAGAAAAATATGAAACTAGTTTTATATTTTTGCTAAAATCATGCTCGATGTTTTTATTCACCACTTAAATTATTCAAATCTTATATGGTCCCCAAAAATTTGAAACTTGGTTAGTTTGAAATGAAAGATGCAGGCCAAGACAAATCCTTGCAAACAGCAACACAAATCACCACGTAACACGTGCAAACTGCAAACAATGTTTCCTCGGCAGCAACATCTCATTTACTATTGAGACATGCACGGGAGAATTCAAATAAAAATATATTTCAAGATCTGATCGATTGGATATTAACAACATGTATCTTGTGTTTTAACATTACAGCAGCATTGTCTTTTACAATATTGGTCCATACGGCTGTGTCTACAAAGCTAACTTGATCGATCAGTGGATATTCTGTAGGCCATGAGAGACTATGTAGGTCAGCGGATATTCAACTGTTATCTGCAGCCAGTCTTTATTCTCAGGTTAATAGAGTTTAGCATTTGAACTTTTGTGATGGTTTTATAATGTGAACAAGATTCCAGCTCGTATGAATTTCTCTTATAACTTTATTTTTTCAAGAAGTTATGTTTGAACTCCATCTATGTATATACTTTGCTTCAAAGAACTTTGCTTTTGTCGAGCACTCTCAAGTGAGAATTCATTGCTGCTTGTGTCGACAGGTGTCAACAGGTTCCATAAAAATCTGCTATTTACATTACATATAAATATATAAATATACTATTTATTGATGGTTCCAAAAAATATTGTAAACATGATTATCTTATTATTTTTGTTTGAACTATTTTGTATCAATAAGCATCAAGGTGGTTCACATGAATAATATTCACATTTGATCACATGCAAGCATTAAACAGACAATAGACAGCTAAACAGACAGTTTATTGTACAAACAGCCTCCTGTCTATGGGTTCAACATGCCCTAAGATCAACGGTAGTTTTAAATAACCCCCTGTACTTCATGTTAAATGCATAACCGAGAACGCATAGACTATCATATTAGGTAATTTTGAATATATAAAAGTTCTCTACTTTCTTGTTAACTATAATAAGTTCAATGGATAAGCTGCACTCTATAAATTCTAAATTATAAGACGTTTTGGGTTTTTAAAATACGTAGATTTTGCTATATTCTAGATACACAATATGTCTAGATACATAGTAAAAAAATATATCTAGGAAAGCTAAAATATCTTATAATTTGGAATGGAGAGAGTATGTCACAATTACACAACTAAAGAATATATTTATATATATATATATATATATATTTCAATACCTTCATAACCTGATTTTTCCTTCTCCGTTGCAACGCATGAGCATATTTGCTAGTTATATAAAATATAATAGATAAAATTGTGGATCAACATAGGAGAAGAAAAATAAACATTTTTTTAAAAATACGTCAACTACGCAACTATATATGAGGAACACATAATCTGCAAAAGCTTTAGGGAAACAACTTTGACATCCAGTAATAATAGAAAAGAACGTTGACGGAGCTATTGTAGTAAGCCTGATCTCATTCGACCATTCCCTGCGCAAAGACACGCTCGGTACACTCTGCTCCCTACCGTACTTAGCCGCCGATCGTGGGCTCGTGGCCATTTTGGGGGCGCGGCCGCTGCCGATCGTGGCCGAGACCGCTCTCTGCTGCTAAACGCGGCTCCACAAACGGTGCTGGCAAGCAGAAGAGCCCGTCGATGCATTGCAAACTCGGCGATGACGAGGCCGGGGCGTCATCATGCATGTCCCGCGCGCTAACTAGTTATCCGGGCTGTCCGAGCGTTCCAACCGCCGTGCATGTGGCCACTTCGCTGCCTCTCGTGGTCCCATGTGGGGTCCTCCGTTTCTTTATCGCCACGCTTATTCTGGTCAACCTTCGCGTTAGCCCTGCGGTGACTTACTGACTTGGTGGAAGCTCTGCTCGCCTTTCGGTCCATTATAATCAGCTCATTCTGAAGGAGACTCGCGCGTAGTGGCCGACTAATTAATAAGAGTTGAAGTGCGCTGGCTAGTGGCCACAGCTACTGGTACTAGTTGAAGGGATTGTTATTAATCACAGAGGCCAAGTAGTAGTAAGTATCAACCGAGCCGCTGCGACATGCATGGCGCGCGCCAACACCGTACAAGTTGTCAAAGGCTTTGAGCCTTTGACAGATTTGCGCTAGTGTTGCATGATGCATGAACGCATGCATGTGAGCTTCGCTAGCAGCTAAGTATGACCCACCAAGCACAGCAACAGGAGAGGAGCGTACGCGCCGTGCAATCAATCATGCCCCTATATTCCCTGCCAACGACCATCATTCCGATGATCACCCCAGCTGCAACCGGCTGCTCTCCCTGATGGTATTTAAGCCGCACTGCATGCCATGGGCGTCACAATCCATCCGCCATTGATCAACAATTAATCCTGATCTACTATACTCAGCCATTCTCTCTTTCTCCCAACTATCTATTGCAGCTTCTACTCAGTTCGTTGCTCTGGTGATCGGCCGGCCATCGATACAAGCGACCGATCGAGATGAGCACCACGGTGGCGCAGCTCAAGCCCTTGGCCGTGGTCGTCCTTGCGCTGCTGGTCACGTCGGCAAGGGCGGACTACTGGAACAGTGGCAAGGCGACGTTCTACGGCGGCCCCGACGGCTCCGGGACCATGGGTACGTACGCAGAGCGTACTGCGTGGTCACGTACGCGTGGAGAGCGAGCTCTATCATCACTCGATTTCTATGCAGCCTTGTGGCGGCAAGCTTGTATGTTGCTGATACTTGCAGTTGGTTTGGCTTGAACTGTTTGTGCGTCGACGCATGCAGGTGGCGCGTGCGGCTACGAAAACCTGTACAACGCGGGCTATGGAGTGCTCAACGCTGCGCTGAGCCAGGTGCTGTTCAACGACGGCGCCTCGTGCGGCCAGTGCTACACCATCAAGTGCGACGACACCCAGTCCGTGTGGTGCAAGCCCGGCAACACCGTCACCGTCACGGCCACCAACCTGTGCCCGCCCAACTACGCGCTCCCCAACGGCGGCTGGTGCGGCCCGCCGCGCCCCCACTTCGACATGTCCCAGCCGGCATGGGAGAACATCGGCATCTACCGCGGTGGCATCATCCCCGTCCTCTACCAGCGGTAAGCTTGGCTACACCACGTACGGCCGGCAAACCTCGCCGGACCTTAATTAGGGTTGTCACTCTAGTTCTAGCAAGATGATAGAGTAATTAACCGATCAAGATATCGATGTGCATGGCTCGCGATCGGTGGTGTGCAGGGTGCGATGCTCGAGGCAGGGAGGCGTGAGGTTCAGAATCACCGGGTCCCAGTACTTCCAGCTGACTCTCATCACCAACGTCGGCGGCAGTGGGTCCATCCAGTCCATGTCGGTGAAGGGGACCAACACCGGGTGGATTGCCATGACGCGGAACTGGGGAGCGCAATGGCAGAGCAACTCGGCGCTCCTCAACAAGGCGCTCTCCTTCATGGTCACCTCCACCGGCGGCCAGACGCTGTACATCAACAACGTCGTGCCGGAGGGGTGGGTGCTGGGCATGACATTCGCCACCAACGCGCAGTTTGACTATTAGCTCCATCGGAACCGCGCGCATAATTGCATGTGCGTGTGCGTGTGCCTGGCCGGCCTCTGAAAATTTTAATTGATCAAAATCAGTTGACCTAATGGCGTAATTGATCTGATGTGGGTTGATCTGGATTTTGATCTGTGGATGATCGCATTTTGTCGAATTATTAGTTTCTACGATCTGAACATATATGTACACCAATGTAATTGTTTTATCGAGTGGTATATGCTATTAATTTTCATTTTTATCAGACCATCCTATATATAGTTGCTCATTGCATGGCAGCTACCGGTTCTTATCTGAAGAGAAATCCTATACTACGCTTGACTGTTTTACATTTTACCAACCATCGATTTTTATTACCAATAAAAACAAACGCCACATACCTAGTTTAGCATCTTCATTGTGTCATCGTCTTCATTTCTGGCGAGGCCTTCGTTCCCAGCGAGGTCTCCGACGAGTTACGGTTCGTCGATCTATTCCCGATGGGCTTAAGAAGGAATGGGGATTTTTGTGGATAGCAAGCGAGACCGGTTGTGGCGGCGTGCGCGAAGGCGGCGTGGGTGAGGTGACGATGTCACTTCTGGTCAGACAAGTGGGCCGGGAGAAGGCGGTTGGATGGGGCAATGCAATGACGGGGATTTACCAGGTTAGCCTGGCGATGGTGGTGGCATCAGATTTGGCGGTGGGGAGCCGCCGAAAAGGACGAGGAGGCGGGGCAGGGGCGTAGATGCCATGAATGAGCAGCGCCCGGGAACGGGAAGTAAGAAGAATGAAGAGAAAAAGATGTGTAATATGGGATGAGATGTGAGCTGTTGGATGCTAAAATCAATAGCTCAAAAAAATCGAGTGGGTCCCCAATACACCTATGTGTGGGCTAGATAGATCCCTATCTAAAACACCTTTCTACTTTGCTAAGACTCAACTAGCAAACCAATCTGTAATTACAGCCCACAAACTAACCAACAGCGATCATTCCTTTTTAAAACTACTCCTCTTGCAGACACGCACCTCAAATGTCAGAAACCTTCTAATAATTAATTAGTAATTAATAAACTCCAACAGAATTGCCCCATGAGATGCTGATTGGTGATCATGCATGTGACGTTACAGCAGAGCAGTTTCTTATAAATGACAATATACAGAGAGGTAGTTAGTTCCATGGTATCAGCATATGTAGATTGTTAAATTCAATTCAATTTTTTTTGTGGGTGTGAATATAATTGGTCCATGGGATTTATCGTTGACATGCATGTTTACACTTTAAGATGATAAAAATATAAGTCATAGTCATTTATTTTCACTCAGAAAACCACATGATAATAGTGCATAATTCATATAACCTGCAGCTTCTATGAACCGGATCCACCTATTTTAATGAAAAAAATAAAGGTCACTGGAAGGGAAAAATGGTATTTTGATTTTCGATGAGCACCTACTTGAAACTTGAAAGGCACAATTTTACTCACTTATGTGGTTTGCAATGTATGTGCAAAGTCTAACTATATAAAAACAAATTTTTATAACATAATTTACGAAAATATTGTCATATACTTCATCCATTTCAAATTATAATACGTTTTGGCTTTCTTAGATACATTACTTTTACTATGTATATAGACATAGTGTATATTTAGGTGCATAGTAAAAGCTACGTATATAAAAAAACCAAAACGTCTTATAATTAATTTGGAATGGAGGGAATATGTCCAATCCAAAAACAAAGGCTACAAGTATGTTGTTGCTACAGTGAAAATGATCTATCCACATACCCTATCATTTTTATTAATGGCTAGAAGGACAATTATTTGACAGAGAGATACTGTCATGTACACGGAAGTCTCTTCCGCTTTATCTTCGGTAACTAACCTTGTGAGCTCGTACGCCTTACTCACTCTAACAAAATAAGGCTGTTTTGAATGCTGGAATGAAATTTGTAAACTTTGTTTATTCGTATATGTTGCATGCTGTACCTTAGGCATACAAAATTATTTCTTGGTGGATATGTGTTGAAGTTATGTCTTTGTGGACTTGTGTGTTGAAATTGTTTTATACTATGTTATACTTTACTGTACGCCTTATAAATATAATTCTAAGGCAAAATAGTATCCTAATAAGTTGCTTACCAGTAAACCCAAAATGTGGCTTATTTTGCTATTGGTTACTCCCTACGTTCTAAATTATAAATCATTCTAATTTTTTTGAAGAGTCAAAGCATCTCAACTTTGACTAAATTTATTTCATTAGTTATATTTTCATAGTATACCTATTTGATGTCATAAATCTTTGTAATTTTTTTAATAATTTTAGTCAAACTTGAGATGCTTTGATTCTTAAAAAAGTTAAAATGACTTATAATTTGAGATGGAGGGAGTAGGAGGCAATACGTATTTTGATGTACAGTGATAATGATTTTTGACCCAATTAACAATAAATCTCCAAATAACACAATGTTTACACTGTACTTACATATATATAAGGTTTACACACAATAATGAACTTATATATTAATCTAAGACTAAAAAAACACAATGTTTTTAAATATGAAATTGGGACGACAAATGTCTGTGAGAAGATAACAAAATACATAGAGGACGAAATTTGAAATTATACATGGGCGCGCACCTCCAGCAGTCGGAGCATCACGTAGGGAAGAAGCCAGTCATCAGGCGGCCACCAAGGATGCAACGGCAAGTGCAGCTGCTCTGTCAAAATCACGAGCACGCACACGCCACGTTCAACCGACCGAGCTGCAAGAAATGGCGAAACGAAGCATGCTTTGCATGCATGTTTTAGTAGGCGAAATTTCTGTTGGTGCCGAAGGTCATGCCGAACTGCCACCACCCCGGCACGACGTACATGAACTGAAGGTACTGCCCGCCGGTGGTGGTGACGGCGAAGCTGAGACCCTGGCCGACGAGCCCAGCGAGCGCCTGCCAGTTGGCGCCCCAGTTTCTGGACATCTGGATCCACCCGGTCTTGTCACCCTTCACCCAGGCGGCCGCCACGGCGCCGCTGCCGCCGACGTTCTGGATGTTGACGAGCAGGAAGTATTGGGAGCCCGCGATGCTGAATCGCACGCCGCCCTGGCGCGTGCACGTGACCTGCTGGTACAGGACCGGGATGATGCCGCCCTGCACGACGCCGATGTGCTCCCACGCCGGCTGCGACATGTCGAAGTGGGGGCGGCCTGGGCCGCACCACCCGCCGTTGGGGAGCCCGTAGTTCGGCGGGCACAGGTTGGTGGCCGACACCGTGATGGAGTTGCCCGGTTTGCACCACTGCCCGCCCGGACGTGACCAGTCGCACGTGATGAGGTAGCACTGCCCGCACGACGCGCCGTTGTTGAACAGCGTCTGGCTCAGCGCCGCGTTGTTAATGCCGTACCCGGCGTTGTACAGGTTGCCGTACCCGCACGCGCCACCTACATACACATGTATGCATTGGATTAATTAGTATATACGATCTGTGCAGATGGAGTAATCTCACCTATACAAAATGTGCACAGCTATTGTACAGCAATACAATGCATGCAATATACACACTATACTCCTACTTACCCATCGTGCCGGAGCCGTCGGCATCGCCGTAGAACGTCGCGGTGCCCTGAGACCAGCCTGCGGCGGCGAGCCCAAGGCAGGCTGCAAGGACTGCGCACAGGATCAGGGATCTGGACGACGTGTCCATATATGGACGTCGGCAATGCAGATCGAGAATGGTGAGGGGTGTGTTCGTGAGGACGAACGAGGTGTGGCTGTGCAATGGACGTATTACGTTCCTGAGCTGAGCTTGTGGATGGAATGAGGCCCCTGCTTAAATAGCTAGACTAGAGGATCGGAGGAAGAGGCGCGGCGTGGCTAACTTCAGGAGCAAGAATTTATTATATTAATCACAGGATGTGGTGATTAGGGGTATGATGGTCGATCATCATCCTGATTGCTTTGTGTCACATGCCAGTCAGAACACACGAATCCGTGTTCCATCGAAGCACATGGCTGCAGATGCACCGATCGCGTGTTCCAAGCTAGGCCTCTGACTTTGCCATTGGAACTAATCATAGATGCAATGCAAGGTGTGTTAGTTGATCGCAGTTTGATAGATAGAATGATCCATCTGTTAAGAAGATTTCTCAGGCAACCAACCATCAACTAACCCGAATTCCTTGCACGTACATTAGTCGAAACCCTGTTCGCTGCATGTTCTGCGGTTCTGATCAAGATAGAGCACCGGGCACCGGCCAACCGATCGATCCCAAATGTGAATTCGTAGTGACGATGCAGAAAGATTACATGCATAGTTCACAGATTTAGAATTAAACTGCCGGCAAACGACGTGCCAGTTGTAACTCCACGTCGGTCGAGAACGAATATCAACCATATGAGATCCATGTTGATCACTTCTCTTTGAGATGACATGACTTAATGGATTTCGAAATATTTCACGTACGGATTGGCCAGAAAATTATTCGAGGGGATATCGTAACAATTTTAACGAACTCAACAACTCGTATAAGTTGGTAGTGTTGCTCATTTGCTAGTTAAGTTCCTTAATTAGTGGAACTTGCTCATCATCAGGAGTTTTATAGTCCATGACTATTCTAAGTTCCTACCTTAACACCAAGGAAGAGTTCGTTCAATACTTTATTTTTATCTTAGTGAACATTGATTGGTATTTAAAAGTATATATGGATTCTTTTCAATAAACCAACACTCATTTCCATAGATAGCGTGTTATTTGATCCACGCATAATTCAGCTTTTCCTCGATCATATGCTCTGAGTTTCAGTAATCCGAGTTTCTGTTATTCTTATGTTATAGTTATGGTATGAATATAACCATATCAATTCGACGTGTATGGATCATGGGTGAGATTCTATGGATATAGAGAGCTAGTTCCAATAAACTTATAAAAAGATCTCATTCGCTTGTATCTAATGGAACTGAACCCACGAATTTACTATTTCTGAGTTGGCACTTTAACCATTCACATCCAAGGATTCTTAACAGGTAATGGACCATAAATGGGCTAAAACAATATTCAAAAGTTAAATTCAAGCATTGTAGCATTGTACTCACTCCGCGCCCTAATATAGGGCCTGTTGGTTCCCTAGCTATCCCCTAACCATGATTCCCGGAGTCAACTTGAGCCTGTTTGGTTGGCTGAACAAGTCTTCTAGCCAGGCCCCAGTAAGCCACCCATGTGGTCTTAGCTTGGCTATCTGGAAACGCGGGAGTTGGGTGTTTTTCTGCTCTGGCCAGCCATCCCCGAAGTCGCCTCACCTCCCTTCAGCGCACGATAGCAAGCTCCTTTAGCCGTGCACGTGAGCTCCGGTGAGATCCGCATGTGCTCCTCCTTCGCCGGCGCTCCTCCCCGCCGGTGTTCCACCCATGAACCTGAGCTCCACCTGGCCGTCCCGCCACCACGGGAGGAGCACGGCGGGAGCGGCGCGGAGAAACGCCGGGGACCATGAGGAGCAGCAGAGCGCGGCCTGGAGGGCGTTGAGGGAGTGGAGGAGCGATTCGACGACATCGGCGTGAAGGCCAGGGAGCCGAGGAGCGATTTGAGTGGAGGAGAACGATGATGCCAGCAAGCTCCCTTCCAGAACTGTGGCACCTGACTGCTGTCGTGGCTAGCCCGTGAGCTCCTTCCCCACCCGCGACCCGTTGGCGCTACGGGGAGCTATGGCTTGGGCGGGCAGCATGGGGTCGATGCAGAGCCCGCCGTGTGCTTGCCCTGCTCTGCCGTGCCTGCCATGGTGCCGTCGTACTCGTCGTGCTGCCATGTGCTGCTCGCCTAGGATGCCCACCACATGTTCGACGAAATTTCTCAAAGGAGGTAAACTTACCAATTCGGAGAAGAGATGCCTGTGTCAAAATAAACCAGGCAACCAAACACGTCGTGGGGCTAGCCAAGCTTAGATAGTACAGACAACCAAAAAACCAAGGATTGGCTTGGTGGGAGCAGGCTAAGATTGCCCAGGCCCAGATTCTAGCTAGGCCAGAAGTTGGCCAGGAATCCAAACACACCCATAATGTATTCTCAAGATTTTAGGTCAGCTTAATAGAGAATACACAAGACATATATATATGGCCTCGCTTTATTTCGTCATCACACTACTAGAAACTAAAATATCCCTGTCGGTAGCAACACAACCGACAGGAAAATAGGTATTTCCCTGTCGGTTCTCAGGTTATCGACAGAAAAATATACATACCGTCAGAAAAATAGTCAATTTCTCTGTCGGTTACCAGATAACCCAAAAAAATGTGAATTATTCTGTGTGTTTTGTTGAACCGACAGGGAAATTATCCCTCACGAGCAGTCACACCCGAAACAATGAGCTAACCTGGGCTTGGGCCGCGAAGGCCTTTCAGCTGGCCCAAATTGGAAGCGCAAGTGTATATAATGCGTGCTAGGGTTAGTCAGCCATCAGTACACCCACACCTTTCCTCCCTACGTCGCCGCCATTCTCCGCCTGTCCTCCCTCCCCGCCGTCTTCAATCTCCCTGCTCAACCTCCCTCACTGGGTGTCCCTGTAACACCCTAGGTGTTTGGCTTCCACATTTGCACCTGCATTTCATGAACATGAGCATCATGCATCCATTCGTGAACTTATATAACATGAAACATGATTTCGAAACATTGCAACATGTTGTATATTTCATGTGTATTGTTTCTTTTATGAAATGTAAAGTGTGCAACACCTAAGTGCAACATGTGCCACTCAATTAGTGAAACATGGTTAGTTAGCTATGCAATAAGATCATGAAACATGTGAAACAGGACTATGAAACATTTGTAACATTTCATGTGTTTTTCATTGTTTCAGTACATACCTTGCTTGATTCTTGTGTGACCAGTGTTTGGTGTGGCTAAAAATTCTTTTAAGTAACTTAGTTACATTTAGAATGTCATTTGGGACATTGTTCATGTTGATCACTTTGACTAATTAGGTTCCCAAGTCATGGTTTGACCCATTTTGACCCCTTAACACTTTGGTTTGACTGTTTAAAAAGTGTAGCTTAGGATGTTTGCATGTCTGAGCAACCTAAAACAAAGTTGTAGCAAATTTGATAAGGAACAAATTTTGTTTAGAAGCCAAGTCATGAAAATGTGCACAACATGTTCAAAAATGGCCCACAAGTCAGGATTGAAAGCTGTTTCAACAATTGAAAATTTTTCTAAGTGTTATACTGGATTTTAGTTTCAAGAACTCGACTTTGGCTTGTTATAACTTGTAATCCTTTGTGAATTAGAGATTGATCCTTTAATAGATATTGTAGATGGTATGAAGGGCCATAACTTTGGTTCAGATTGTATATGCTTAGGATCTATGGATTAAGAGTTTTATCGTCTTCAAGTTGCGTCGTCAGGTCGGCCTATCGTTCTCTGATGGCTTAACTGATGGAGTCTACAGTGCCAACCCATTTTAGAGCTCGGCCGCCGCGTGGCGCCACACATCGCCGGCGTCCTGATCGCTCAGGCCATGTCGAGCTGCAGCACGGCATTTCACGCCCCGCACTCGCCGCTCCCTCCCGCGCTCTCATTCGGTTTCCTGCCTTCTTCCTCGCCTCCGCGCTCGCCCGCAGCAAGCAACGCAGCAGCCGCCGCAGTGCCGCCGTCGCCATTGCCGGCCGGAGCGCATCGCGTCCCTCCTCCATCTCCGCCATAGCTTCACCGTGGTCCCACCGCACCACCGCGTCCACGTTGGCTAGCTAGGAGCGCTTGGTAAGCTGCAGCACCACGCATGGACCTCACCGGTGTACGCCGCCTCACTCCGGCACCGTGGCCGCACCGTCTCCGACCACCTCCGGTCACGCTAGTTGGTGCTATTGAACCGCCATCGTAGGTAGAAGCTCGTCGTAGGTCTTGATTGAGTCATCGTAGCCAGCTCAGGCGTATCGCCGTCAAGCCACGCTGTCTTGCCGCCATGGTCGCCGCCGTCGTCTTGAGCTCCGACGATAGGTCTTGTTAGGTAGTTCTCTAGGTGCGCAATGTCATGGTGATGCTCGTCGTGTCGTTGGTCTTACCGCGAAGGTCGCCGTCGGCGAGCTCCGCCATTCTCGCGCCGGTCCGCGTCGGCTCCTCTGTTTCTGTGTCTATGACACATGGGCCCAGCTGACCGGTGGACCCCAGTTGTCAACGACTGTGTATTAGAAAGATAGTTCATTTTTACTGATTTGAATGCAATTTTGTGAAATCCATATCTTGAGTTTGGTAGATCTAAATTGGGTGTTTCTAATTTTGTTATGATCTTGATGAAGTCTAGTATTTAAGAAAAATATGATATGAGCATATGTTGTAGAAATTTTTGATGAATTAAATAGGGATTTGAAATGTGTTTTCAAATGCATGTAAACTTGTTTGAATTGTATCTTGAGTTTCTGTGATCCAAAAATTATGAAATTTTGTGGGTAAGCTAGT